TCCAGGGCCTTGGGGGAGTGCCTGGGATGAGGGGCAACACATACACACACCTACACACACCTACACACACCTACACACACACACACACACACACACACACACACTCGACTGACTTCTGCACGGTGTCACAACTATAATCGAATCCCGCATCTCCAATGCGTACTGGAGTTTTTCTGCAATATTTTTCTCACTGTACGAAAAATATTAAAAGTCAGAGAGTTTTATTGATAACGAAATATTTTATGAAAGTTGTTGCTATTTTGCGATTTTCCGTAATCTTTATAGTTTAACGTGATTCTTAAATTTTGATACCTAATTGCCACCTTTGAAGAGGCATTACTTCACTACTTCTATCACGACTCAAACGCCATTATGCTTACTCGAATACTACGGTAACTCAAAAACATGTAAGATGAACTTCAAAGCGAAATACCAGTACCTGCGTTAATAAGCACAGCAGTTAACAGCATTATTTCCAAAAATTAGTTTAAGTAAATCCAGCATATACAATGTGGGTACCTTTACCGTATGCTAGTATCTTTATCATCGTGTGTAGTATTTTATTTTACATTATTCCAGTGTTTTGTAAAATACGAAATTAAAACTATCTTTGGTTACGTCAGAACAGATAGTTTACTGAGCCGTCGCCACGAGCGCTTATGCCTCTGCCCGGAGCAGTAGATAAATGTTCGTAGCTACAAAACAGCTATTATAGCAGCAATTAGTTTGCAATTATGGAGCGTTTTTTAATCTTATCAATACAATAAAGAGCTTTATCATCTTCTATTATAAATTACTATTTCTTCTTGCGAAGGTTCGTGCATTTGGTTTGTTTTTATCATGAGTATCATGCATGATTAATATCCAATATTTTTGTTCCTTCTTCCTCGTCTTCTCTAGTAATCAGTGAAGAAAGGGTGTCGTGCTGCTCCATAGGTGCGAAACCGCGAAATCGATTGTAGCACCAGCCGACGAGTCTTCTTCACGCTTTCCCTGAAAGGGAAAGTTCGATAGTCGGAGGATGTTCTCGACCCTCACGCAAATAATCTCACAATTGCAATTATTCACAAATTTCTCAGACAATTCTTCTCTCTCTTTTTCTCTTTCTCTCTCTCTCTCTCTCTCTCTCTCTCTCTCTCTCTCTCTCTCTCTCTCTCTCTCTCTCTCTCTGATATAAAACCGCTGTATGTAAATTCTTATCAACATATTTGAAACATCTATATTCTTTGTGTCTCATTTGGCTCTTGGCGTATGCAAGTATGTTTCGTTGTATTACATGCACATTAAATTAAATGTCGACATAAATAGAATACAAGTGTATAACTATTTGATACACTTTCTTATTTTTACTGTCGTCACGGTGAAGGGACTAACTTGTTCTAATTAATCATTGCGTTCTTGAATGAACGTTTGTCCTTGATTTTTTTATGCACTTGGCTTTCAGACGTTTTAGGTCACAATTTCATGCAGTAATCGGTCACAGAAATTTGAGGAGACTTAAGATAAAATTTTGTTATCTAATGATAAAATGTTGATTTGAACAATTTAAGTATTTTGAGCACTCATGCATGGAAACTGAAACTTACATTCACTGCTTATCCGTTGGAAAATCTTGTTTTGTGGTCGCGTATGGCAAAATAGACTGCTGTAAGCGCACTGCAAAGACGTCATGGCCATATAAATCAGCTGTTTATTGCAAAGTAAACATAACACTGTGGCGATGAGAATCAACATCGTTGCCACCTCGCATATTGAGAATGATCCCACGAGTGAATGCACGAATTGGAACAAAAACGTAATGTAATCAAGTCGTTCGAGAGTATCTTTGTCATACTGATTTAAAAATGCCAGACTCGTTTTCAAATGTCGCCTTGTCCGACAACATTTTAATCGTACGCCAGTCCCGTTGTCTGGACTAGTCACATAAATAACTAATGAAGAATTTTTATCATTTCTCATATTAAGAATTTTTGTCATTTCGCTTTTACAAAGTCATCTTCAGAAAAAAATACTTCAGCGTATTGACGGACAGAGAATGAAAATATTTCATTCTCGGCGCACAGCGTTCATCCCTCAGCTTTCGTCATATGTATGTGTAATATTTTCGCGGTCGAGACCTTGTAAATTTCTTGTGTCAGGTTCGACATCCTCTTCAACTCAGTAATAGGTCATACCTGTACGTTTTCTGTCTTCATGAATGTTACCTCGTGTCCTCTACTTAAAAGATTGTAAACGTTTCGTCGACATTGAACCTGCAAGAGTTTTTCGACAAGCTGCGTCGGGCCGCTCCGTATTCCGTCCGTTACTCAGCGCTTACATAATTCCGGCGGGAGTCGACAGTTCGCATTAATTTATCGAAACGAACCGTCTCGCGGCGAGCGAGAGAACCGGAGATTCACTCAAGCCGAGGGCAGACGGGAGAGCAAGCGGGCGTGCGGGCGGGTAGACGCGTTCATAAAACAAGGCTCCCGCCGCCGCCGGCTCGCGAGGCCCGGTTCGGGCGCAATAATTAGAGTGCAGTGTCACCCTGTCAATTGGCTATGATACGCTTAATATATGTTGATTAGCGAGTCGGCCTAAACATGGAAGCGGAGCCGACCCGCTTCGCCCAAGGTCGACGGGCCGGCACGCCGCTAGCCTCAGTAATGCACTGAGCGGTGCGGTGCGGAGCGGGGCGGACCTGACCGGGGCAGCCTGGCGGCTCTCGCACCGCTGCCCCGCTCCACGCCCCATCCCCTCCCCGCCTTGCCCCGCTCCGCCATACACCGCTCCACTCCACTCCACTCCACTCTACCACTCCCCCCGCGTCGTTCGGAGACTTCATAATGAGGCCGTTAATTGACGGCATTGACGAGTGAGCTCGCCGCTCCACTGTGGCGGAGACAAGAAAAGCTGATGCAGCGGAGGTGATGGTGTCGGTTTGGTGGCCGACGGCTTTGGTGGTGATCGTGGGGAGGAAGGCTTGTGCAGAAAGAGAATAGGTTGCAGGAATAGCAGGGATGGTTTTAACAATTAGATGAAGGACGCGGCGCATGTGATGACGGGAGCCGTGATCAGTGTGAGGTGTACGGTTATGGTTGCATCGCTGGTAACTCCGAAATGAAGAAATGATGGTAGGGTTTTTGCTGTGGAGATGGAATGTACGTCCGTTGATATTTATGGGTAAGGAAAAGTTGGGGCGAGACTACGTGACAACGCATTGTAGTGTGACACAATGATGGACACAACAAGTCAATGATTTGCGCATTAGCACATCAATGGTAGTGTTGGATGTACTCTAGAGATAGAGTGCAGAGGCGTTCGCTCTGTCGTCGCAAGCAAGCAGTAAATGTGATCAGAAAGCACTGACAAGTCACTGGCGTCGGTAATGACGTGCCATAGTGCTATTTTGTATTCCATCGACTGAAATTGGATTAACTGTGTCAGCTCACACATGTGTGCTAATTTTACGCAAAATATATACATTTGTAACGTTGTACTAACTTGATACATAATAACGAAAGTATTAAGAATTATTTATACTAGCAATTCATATCGCTGTGAAATTGAAGATAATAATCTAGAAAAGCGGATAAAAATCACCGGAATACAATTCTGGTGATCTTCCGCCGATCACGTGCATCGGTGCCAACTAATATTCCATCTACCTAACCTTGAGTTTCGATACATCGGCAAGTACAGGTTTTTCCTTCAATTGTACCGACACTTAGTATGTATCAAATCAAACATTATACAATACCTACTACTACCTTGATACATAATGAAGAAAGTATTAAGAATTATTTATACAAAGCAATTCATATCGCTGTGTAATTGAAAATAATAATCTAGAAATGCGGATAAACATCACCGGAATACTGGTTTTATACAATTCTGGTGATTTTCCGTCAATCACATGCATCGGTGCCAACTAATATTCCATCTACAAATCCTTGAGTTTCGACACATCGGCAAGTACATGTTTTTGAGTCATTTGTACCGACACCTAATATCGAATCGAATCAAGCATTATACCATACACACGCGAGGAGGGAGGTAGCGCTGATGAGGTCGGCGGCGGCGCGAAAGATCTCGCACACAACGTTGAGCCCGGTGGGTGGTCGCAGGGGCGGCGGCGGTGGCGAACGCGCGACTAACAAGAGCGCGCACGTGCCGAGAATTCGCCCAGGCGGTCCCGCCTTCTCGAAAACCGTTAGCGCTCCCGCCGCCGCAACCGCGGTCGGTCGCTCGCTCCCGCTGCCTCGGCCAGAGAGCGATGGATACACTCGGTCGGGGAGCGCGCACTTGACAACACGCCGCAAGAAAGTCCTGCCGACCGCCTTGTAGAACAAGCTCTTCGACATTCGCGTAACCATGTAAACAAGCTGTAAGCGACCGGAGGCACCGAATTCTTATTCGGCTCGTACCGGCCGCTCTTTGTTCGCGGACGAGTCGTAAACTTTCACCCATGTGGGCTCGTGCGCGCGCTGGGACAGACAATGCTGGGCATTTTTTCGTTCGGATGGTGAGCATGAGCGTTTCTGTGTGGCCGCAGTCTCGAGACTTCTTCTGCTACGTTTCTGCGAAATCTGGAAAGACTGCAATGGAGCGATGGTTTGCACGAGACGCGTTAACCGTACGATACCAAGAGTGCTTTGAATAGAAATACTTGATGTTTGTGGAAGGGGATGTGACAACCTGGAAATTAGAACGTTTCTAGTAATTGAATGTGACCTATACTTGTTTTAGCTTAACCGATATCTTTAGAGCACGACCCTATTTGCAGAATATAATGAATCTTTTGTCTTATAAAATGAAGTCATTAAATTAGCGAATACCTTAATATAATATAAATTGTGATTGTTTAGTAGATAATTCCTGGTAAGTTATTTTACATTCACGTTCATCCGTACTTGAGATCCGTAGGTGCACATTCTTGCACGGTATTTTGCGTTTGGTTTTCCATACCTTCCGGCGCAGTCGCCAGAGTACTTCTTCTATAACCTATGACGGTAACATTATTTTGTGCTTGTTCTAAGTAAATAAAAATCGCACTTTTATTTGTTATTAAAAATAGATGAGCCGAGAGATTTTAAGTCCCACTTTAGGGGTAAAGGGCATTTAAATTAATGAAATTACACATGAAAATATTTGAATAAACATTGCGCCAAATAAAACTAGTACACTGCAGTCACGGATTGCTAGATTCTAAGACGACTGTACGCAACAAAGGTAGGGGAATGGCAGTGACAGCCGTTCCCCTCCTCGTTTACACTGCCCTCCCTCCACAGCGGGCACCGTGCAACGATCTGAACAAATACACATCTGAGGATAAGAAATCGGGACATTTTCGAACGAACCCAACTTCAGAGTATGTCATGAACGAGACTTAAATGTTTAAAAACAGACGTTTTTATTTTTAAATTGTTTACTATAGAACAAACGACAAATATTTCTTTATAATGGGGACAGTGTTTGCTTGGAGAAATTAGTAAACTACGTTGTGTTGTACCGCCGAAAATATTACAATAATTAGCTTGCTATTGCCGTTAATCACCAGGGCCCTCAGCCCGAATTCAACGTACAGTTATTCCGCAACTCCCACCAAACCCAGTATTCCTAGTGGCTTGTCCGGTAACTGGATTTTACTGGACAGTACTGGATTTCACGGCGATGTCTCGCCAGCATATCACCCGGGTAGACCCCACCGCTTCCGCGCTGCGGGACGACGGGTCACTCCGTCAGC